GACCTACCTGACAGCTGCAAGAACAAAGGATCCTACACCAAGAAGTCTGCAGCAACTAACCGCCTCCCTCCCTCACCTTGCCTTTAAAAATGCTTTGCTGAAACCCTTCAGAGGGTTAGAGGATTTGGGGGCAGAAGCCACCCATCGCCTTGCATGGCCTTGCAATAAACCTTTCTCTGCTCCAAACTCCAACGTTTCAGTTTGTTTGGCCTCACTGTGCGTTGGGCACATGAACTTGCGTTCGGTAACAGTATCTCTTCCTCAGAACCCCCAAATCTTGAGATTGGTCTAAAACTCACAGAACGTTTAACGTGAGTGGTCGCGTTATGGAAGACACTGAATGACCCAAACGCTTCCTCTAAGGTGATGCAGGAGCCAAAACAAACCTGTTAATTCTTCGAAAACTCTTTCTGACAACAGAACATATTTCCAAAGAAGACTGCAGAATCTTCTCTGGAAATGTTAAGGCTAAATTAGTTATACAAGAGATTAAAATGATGCAAGTATAAAACCAGTTGAAGTTATCAAAATCTGCTAAATACCTTCTTTAGTATCTTTTAACTTGTTTCTTGTGATTCTATGATTTCCTTTCTTCAAAAGCTCACATATTTTAAAATATTAGACACCATTAGAAACAAGAATTTCAGGTACTGAATTTAAATACATCTGTAAAATTCCCTCGTGCACATGGATTTCATTAAGTTCAGTGAAGCAAATAAAACCTGTTGTTATGAAAAGGACCTTTGACAGCTCATAATTACATAAAAATAAATGCACCAGTTGAAGAGTAGAATAAAATTAAGATGTCAGCATTGATGAATCTCTTAACTAAAATTTTTAAGAAGCACTTTAAGACTCAGTAACTTTTCCCTGTTTTGTGTGGTTATATTAAAATGGTAACAATTAATTTTGCAGCAACTTGACAGTAATTATTTAATTCTTAACACATCGTGGAAGGTAATTTTTAGAAATGATAGACTGCTTAGTTAATTAAACCATGAAAGACTTAGTTAATTAAACCATGAAAGACTAAGATGGAAAATGCAATAAGAATTCAATTTAATTCTAAACCTGGACTAAATTTATAGATTAGAAGTAAATGATTGGTTCTAACACATGTACGTAAGGATTACAATACTAAAATGAATACTAGCTCCAGGTCAAGCAGCTAGTAAAAGGCATCCTTGGCAGCGGTAGCAGCAAGACTCCTTTTGGTAAATATTGGTAGCTGACAACAGGACAGATGTGTGTTGCAGGCTTCACTTAAAAGCTAGTCTCAGATCAAAATCCATCACACATGGTAGGTATTGCACTGAACCTGTACAGTGCCTTGGGTAGTGTGGTCATTTTAACAGCAGTGATTCTTCCAATCCATGGGCACAGTATATCTTCCCATCTGTTTGTGTCATCTTCCAGTTCTTTCATCAGCATCTCATAGTTTTCTGAGTACAGGTCTTTTAACTCCTTAGATTTATTCCTTGTTATTTTATTAATTTTTATATGATTGTAAGTGGGACAGTTTTCTTAATTTCTCTTTCTGGTAGTTCTTTGTTAGCGTATAGAAATGCAGCCATTGAGTATAATATTAGCTTTGGGCTTATCATATATGCCTTTATTATGTTGAGGGATTTCCCTCTAGAGCCACTTTGTTGAGAGTTTTTATCATAAATGGATGTTGAATTTTGTCAAAAGCTTTTTGTGCATCTGTTGAAATGATCACATAGTTTTTATTCTTTAATTTGTTAATGTGGTGTGTCACACTGATTGATGGGTGGCTACTGAACCATCCTTGCATCCCTGGGATAAATCCCACTTGATCACGGTATATGAGCTTTTGAAAGTATTGTTGAATTCGGTTTGCTAATATTATGCTGAGGATTTTTGCATCTATGTTCATTAGTGATAGTGGCCTGTAATTTTCTCTTTTTGTGATATCTTTGTCTGGTATCAAGGTGATCCTGGCCTCATAGAATGTGTTCCAAAATGTTCTGTCCTCTGCAATTTTTTGGAATAATTTGAGAACGACAGGTCTTAACTCTTCTCTAAATGTTTGGTGGAATTCACCTGTGAAGCCATCTGGTCTTGGACTTCTGTTTGTTGGGCTTTTTAAAATTATTGATTCCATTTCAGTAATGGTCACCAGAGCTCTATGCTGTAGGGCTTCCTCCTATGTGGGCTGCCCAGGCCCTTCTCTTGTAGCAGGCTGACTACTGTGGGCATGCTAGGAGGCTTGTCTGACCTTTGTTCCAGTCGGTTGCCAGGCCCTGCCTTGTGCAGAGGCTGCCAGCCGGCCGTGGGTTGGCAGGTCCAAGTCCTGGCACGGCTGGATACAGGGCCAGGAGAGTCTTGGTCCCGGTGCCAACCGGCTGGCGGGTGGGGCTGAGTCACGAGGGGGTGACCTTCTGGTGGGCTGGGCCAGTCCTGTCGTGGTTGGCCGCAAGGTCCATGGTGTCCTGGAGCTGGTGATGGGGCCACGTCCTGAGGTCTCCAGCTGCAGGACCCTGGGGGTCCTGGAGTCGGTGTTAGCTCTCAGGCGGGCGGGACAAGGGCCCAGGGCATTCCAGGGCTGGTTCTCACCCCTTGGTGGGTAGGGCTGGGTTCTGGGCCCACCCAGCTGCCTGGCCTGAGGCAGCCCAGGACCGGTGCTGACCGGCTGGTAGGTGGGGCTGGGCTCTGGCACTAGAGGGAGGATTTCAAAATGGCGCTTACCAACATCTCATCCTCATGGTGGGATGAGCTCTGCACAATGGCTGCTGCAGAGTCCTCACCCCAGGCTGAGCGCTGCTACCTGCTGCCTCTCTGCGAGGCTCTCCAAGATCAGCAAGTGGGTCTGACCCAGGCTCCCTCCAAGTTACTGCTCTGCCCTGGGTCCTGCAGCGTGTGAGATGTTGTACGCGCTCTTTAAGAATGGAGTCTCTATTTACCACAGCATTCTTCTCTCTTTATCCTTGGTTTTCTCTGTTAAATTTCTAGCTAGTCTACCACTGAGCTCTTTGCTATCATGGAGCTACAAGCCTCTTCTCAATTGCGTATTACCAAGCTCTCCATCATTTCTGAGAGTGCCCTTCCCCACCATCTCCTCCAAATAAAATCCATCTCCTCAGGGAGGGCTGTGGAACTCCCTGCTTAGCCTGCCTCTGCCCCGGGCAGAACCTCGCCCCACTGCTCCAGAGCTGGAGGCGGACACAGTGGCCTCCTCTCTCACCATGACCTCCCAACCCTACGACTAGGGCGCTGATTAGGGACTGCAGCCCCTAGTCTCCTCTCCTCTCCGAGTATGGAACTGCCCCCTACGAGGGAGCCAAGATGGGGACAGTAGTGGCCCCATATCCTTGGCCTGCCACACCTGGGGGAGAGGTTCCACCCTAGAGTGGTGGCTAGGTATGTGGGAAGTCCCAGACCTGTTGGCCACACCTGCCTGGAATAAAGCTTGTGCCTGCAGCTTGCGGGAGGGGGCTGAGGATGCTGGAGGCCTGCCCCTTCCGAGGAGAAGCCAGCAGCGCAGACCCGGGCCTGGAGGAGCGGAAGGCCGTCTTCTTGGCTGCAGCCACACAGCGCATCACACTGAGCCGGGGTGGCGCAGATTCAGTCCTAGACCGAATACCCAGATTCTTGCTGTTCTTAGCAAGATTCAGTAGATTCTCATGAATGAATGTTTCTCCATGTACTGTATACCCTCAGGACAATTTCCAGAGACTTTAAATAAATGTTTTTAAAATAATTTTCACCACTCACTTTTGATTGTTTCCTGGAGAGAGGGTCTACAAAGAGCCTCACATCACCATTCCAATACCTTTTCTATTTATGTTCACTTCTATCATTCATTTAAAATTTTCTCTTTGTGTTTTACAATCTAAGTAATATATTAACCTTCTGCATGTAATATATTCATAAATATGTATAAGATGCAAATAACTGTACATGTCCTGTGTTGATCAAAATATCTCAGATAAGGTGCTCAATCAAAACCATTTGGAGAGTTCAGACCTTGTACACACCCCTGGCTTTTTCCATGTTCCACTTTGGATATATTTACCTTTTCCATCAGGGAAATCATGGCACGTGCTCTGGGTCCTTGACGCTGTCACCATCCCCAGCAGGAAACTATTGCCAGCTCTTTTTTCCTAAGCCAATGAGAGAGATGATGTTGGCTCTGGGATCGTGTCAGTTTCGGCAAGTAGAATACATTAATAACTTTTACACTATTTGACACAAATATAAAATCAGCAACCTTTACTGTATAGTATGGACATTTTTAGAGCAACAATTCCCAATTCTTTTCACTATGCTGCCTGTGAAATATGTAGAAGATTATTAATCCATCTTTAATAGCACATCTGAATCTACAGCAATCTTACTTATCCCTGTGAGAGTAAATTTTTTTAAAGAATGGTTGTCACTATCACCTATGAGGTGGAGAATAATTAATGAAAATTTTCATTGGACTTTTCTGGGAAAATGGCTTTTGATTTCCACCTGTGAAAAGTCTGCTTTAAAAAAAATGTAATCTAAGAGTTGTAAACATTTCTGCCTTGCAATTATCCACTTGGTTACGTGAAAAACATTTTTAAATACCCCAGCGTCTTTGTGTTTCCATTTGCTTCCAGATAAAACAGCGTTATCTCCATTTAAAAATTCACAGAATACACCAGTAGGACCCTTTCAGGAATGTGTTTGATAATTTACCTCCTCAGTACGTTCACCAAACATCTGCAGACACCCCGGCCATTCCCCAGACACAAAACTGCTGGAACCAAGTCACTCTCCCGTGCGGAGGTGTCAACAAGTAAACAGATGACAGACACAGAAGCACTACCAGGAAAACCCTATGCCTTATCATCATTTGAGCGAACCGCTGCAGGCTTTAAAAAAGAAAACAAATCGTAGTACAGCTGCTATTCCAAGCAGCGGGTGGGCGCGCAGTCCCCTTGGTGCTGCGGACAGAGTTTCTGCAAACCCCGCGGGGGCCGCCCAGCTGCCAGGCCCCGGCCCTGCTCGGTGTCCGGAGCCGCAGAGGCTCGCGGGGGACAAGCCGGGGGACACACCGGAGCCCGCGAAGGGCCGGGTCCCCAGCAGGGCCGCGTCCCCAGCAGGGCCGCCCTGGCGCGCGCGGAAAGGGCGGCGCCGGTTCTGGTACCTCGTGGGACGAGGGCCGAGGCGGGAACACCGGAGCTCCGACCCGCACTGCGTGACGCGACGCCGCTGCACCGGGAACGGCTGGAAGGCGCCCCCGCGGCGGCAAAGGAGACGGGCCGGGGCCCAGCGACCCACGGGGACGTGACGCGGGGTTGGCACGTGGACGCGCGCGCCGGGCGGGCGGGCGAGACGCTTCGGGGGCCCCGCGCGCCCCGCCGAGGTCTGCGGCCCCCGGCCGCCCGGCGCCGGGTCCCGGGCGCCCCGAGCCCGCGCGGGGATGTGGGCCCTCCCGCCCGGGAGCGCAGTCGCCGCGGCGGCCGCCGAGGACGCAAGACGGAGCCGCGGCCCGCGCTGTCCGGGGAGAAGACGGCGGCCCTTCCGCCTGGGACGACGGGACTTGCGGCGCCAGCCCGCGCCGCCGGACCGCGGAGAGCAGCGCAGGTAAGGAGCGCGGCCGCGGGCCACCGCTTCGCCGTCAGCTGCCCGCTTTGCAGCCCCTGAGCTGGCCCGCGCGTGGGCAGGCGCCCCCAGCCCGACCCCGCACCTGATCCTTCCGCCGCTGCGGCCCGCGGGTCCGGGGGGAAGCCACGCAGTGTAGTTGGGGCCGTCCGCCTGCCTTTGCCCCAGATAGTTTTGCCGGCCGAGCCGCCCTCGGACTGGACTTAACTTCGGGGGAGTGACTCATGTTCCGTGAATTGGTTTTGCTCATCGCGTCGCCCTGGGTTACTGACCGGCCCGCCCCCGGAGTTAGGCGCGAGCACACTTGGGGGCTGACCCGGGCTTCCCGGGGCGGGGCGGGGCGGGGGGTGGAGACAGAGAGCCCTGAAGTCACGTGTCTCACACCCGCTTCCCTGGGGTGGTCCCTCCAGCCTCAGCCACTACCCACCGAGTACCCATGGTTGGTAGGTACATATTTGCGTGTTATCACTTGGTTAAATCGGGATTAATTAGAAAGTTGATAGGAGCCGTCGCTGGATAGTTGACTGGGACAGTCACGTACGGTTTTTCTGGGAAACAGCTGCTCGTCCCGTGTTACCTGCTGTCGTAGGAGCAGATGTTATAGAGATGGCACTCTGTGTAGATGCGTGGTATTGTTGTACTAGTGCTGTTGGGTGTTCCTTAAAGCGAGTAAATCTGTGTAAAACAAGGGAATTGTACTTTTTCAAGTAAGCCTTTTTCTATGACTCTCTTGTGCTTTTCTTCCTTGAACATAAGCAGGTTATTTAAAAACTATAAAAAATAGATTTTACAGTATTTGTCAAATATTTACTTAAGCTGATCTCTTGGTTCTTGGTGATGGACTATTTTACTGGAAGGTTCAGTGTGTCTGGTATTAAAACTTCCTCTGGAGAAAATGTGCTTCCAAACATTCCAAACAAAATGATTGCAAAGTGGCCCCCAGTCCACGTGTGTAAAACATCCCGCAGTGAACTTTTGAGGTTGTAGAACAATCATGTTTTCAATTATTTTACTTTCTCTGAATCTTATGTTCTTTCCATTTTCAGTGTTTGTTAGAGCTGAATCAGACATTACACACAATATTTAGTAGATACTGCACATAAATCATGAACACAGATAGTACACTTACACTTCAGGCTTAGAAACATAAGAAGGTGCCCTGCATAGCAATTGTAATCTATGAATAATGTTTCTTTAATCTCAGAAAAAATGTAGTGATGAATAATCCATTGAACAAATTAGATTCGTTAGAACTACATAGCAGACTATAAAAGGAATAAAACTCACATTTAACCAATAACTTGTTTGCTTTTTTAAACTATGAAAACACCTCTCTCACACATAATGAGGATAATGCTCATTTCATTTTTAAAGAGGCATTTTATTCCTGTGGCTAGATCGTATTTTAAATATATTAAAAATATATATGTACTATTACATTTTAATCGGCACCATTTCATTTTCTTCGTTCTGATTTTTTTTAATAAACCTGTAGGTTACTTAGAGTTTTGTTTTTAATTTTATTTATTTATTTTTGGCTGCATTGGGTCTTCGTTGCGGTGGCTTCTCTTGTTGCAGAACATCGGCTTTAGGTGCGTGGGCTTCAGTAGTTGCAGCATGCAGACTCTGTAGTTGTGGCTCGAGGGCTCTAGAGAGCAGACTCAGTAGTTGTGGCGCACGGGCTTAGTTGCTCCACGGCATGCGGGATCTTCCTGGACCAGGGATCGAACCCATGTCCCCTGCATTGGCAGGCAGATTCTTAACCACTGTGCCACCAGGGAAGTCCTGATTTTTTTTTTTTTAATTTATCAGACCCGCGTTTAGTCTTTACTACTTAAGATTGTGCCCTGCAAGAGCTCCTGTCTTACTGTGGATAACATCTGCAAGTATCTACAGACATAGTTACAGTTAAGCAAAAAAAGGTAATTGTATTTCTTTCTCCGGAATTGTATTGTTAGAAAGTGATGTATGTGGGAATGATCATTGTAGTGTAACAACCCAAACATTTCATTTTCTAGACTTAGGAAATGGTGCTTTGTAATTTTTAAAAAACTGCCCATTTCATTGTCTTCTTAGTTAAATTTATACGAAGTAAACACAACTTGTTATGTGCTCTCAGTGATACAAATACAGTGTTCTCTGTATAGACAGCCCTCCTTCAAAGTATATTTGCATATAAATTTCTGAACATGACACCTGCCAAATTAGGAAACAAAATAACTACATATAACACCGTGTCTTTTTAGCATATCATTTTGTTAGATGTGAGGGAGATATTTGTACTGGAATAGGAGGCCACAGGAAAAGGAGATAGTAAAGAGATGCTTCCTAAGTATTTTAAGGTCATGGACCCCTTTGAAAGTCTGGTGATAGTTATAGATGTGCTAGGAAATGCCTGGACATGCATACCTACTTTGGATTCAATTTCAAGAGGTTAACAGCTCTCTAAGCCCAGTCTTGGACTCTGACCAAGATCACTTAAATTAGATTTTTAGCATGTCAGTAGGCTTCGTTGCTGCACATACAAAACCCTAAGTCATTCCATTATATCAAAACATAACTGCATTAATAATTACCTTAATAATAAAACAATGAAAACTTAATTGGAAAAGTAACATGAACCAGATATTAATTTATAAAAATGTGCTTATTATCTTTGTCTAATGTTGGTTGCTAAACCCTTTTTTTCAAAAATAAGGTCTCTGAATGAGAAAAGGAAGAATTTTTAAATTTGAAAAACTCAACTGAAATCATATTGCATTGAAGACAAAGACCTAAGGAGCAAACAGATATGAAAAAGCTAGGGCTGTTTACAAGTCATATTCTTACAAAGAATGCCTATATGAATCGTGGAGCTATTTAGGTGCAGTTCTGTGGGTTGTGTTGGAACTCAGGGTCCTGACCAATGGCCCCTCTCGGTAGACACGGTTTCCTCCTCTGTATCCTTCTCCTTTAAGATTCATGACTCCGTCTGTTTGTTTGAAATCTCTTAATTCAGGATGAATTGAGGGAAATATCCAATAAGTTATTCTCCAGAGAATCTCCTTCTCAGATGTACCCCTAATAGCTTGCTCCTTTACCTCTGTCCTCTGGCATTTGCCTTAACAACAAAAGGGCTGTGTCCATGCCATCGATTGAGCTCCTGCTCTAACCCAGGCACTTGAGGAATTCCATTTCATCCCATCTTCACAGGCACCCTGTGATTAGGACCCCCCTTTACACAGGCGGAAACTGGGCCACAGAGGCTGTCATTGGCCCAGGTGGCTGCTGGGCGGAGCCGGGTAATAACAGACACCTGCCTCCAAACCCGTGGTCCCCACTGCAGCACAGTGCCCAGGACAACCTTCCCACGAGCCCTGCATTTCACTTTTCTTATGGATGCAAAACAGCTCAAACAGCCAGTCCATGTGACTAGGGCTAGTGATTCCTTGAATCGAGGGAAAAGAAGACCAACGTTTAAGGTTAAAGTGACGTCGTATAAAAATTAAGCACCACTAACCTTCACGCCCTTAAAACCTCACAGAATGTGTCTTTGGAAACTCTGTAGACACCTCCTTTAGGTCTTCCTCCTCTCATTAAGTGTATTTCTTTGACTTTTTAGTAAGTCAGGTAAATATAGGAGATTGATAGAATAATATCTTATTAACACAGTATTCTATTAGCAAGTATCGAGGTGAGTTGAGTATAGTAGAAGGGTGGTTTAGCCCACTGTACTTCCTTTTTATGAAAGATTTTAATTTTATTAACATTTATCCTAATCTGCCTGGGACAGTTCTGTCATCCTTTACACAGGATCATGTTTCACTACCCCATTTTTGCCTGTCTTCCTTTTTTCCTTTCCTGTCCTTTCTTGATGGGTCCTAGACCAGATTTTCTGTACATTTCATGGGAGGATTTAGAGCACATATTTGTGGTAAATTTGGTCAAACTCACACCCACACACGGTGCAGGCTCGTGGTTGGTACAGGCTTTGACTTTGCTGTCTTTCCATCCACAGCCTTGAGGAGGGAGGGGCCTCTCCTTGTATTTCCTTCCATGGCAGGAGCTCTGGCCTTGCTCTTCCCAGAGGCCAGTTATCCCTGTTGGGCACAAAGATTCAGACTTGGCCTCTGGGCCCGAGAGTGGGTCTCCTCACCTGCTGCCTCCGCGCCTGTGAAGCTTAACCTCCCACTGTCTCTGACTGTGACTTCCGTCCGTATTTATAGCCCTTGAGAATTTTCCACTCTTTCCTATAAGTTTGACTGTATATACTTTTTAATTAATTAATTAAATCATTTTTAAAAAATTGAAGTATAGTTAATTTACAATGTTGTGTTAGTTTCAGGTATACAGCAAAATGATTCATTTATACATTTTATATATATATATATATATATATTCTTTTTCAGAGTCTTTTTCATTATCGTTTATTATAAGACATTGAGTAGAGTTACCTGTGCTGTACCGTAGGTCCTTGTTGGTTACCTATTTTATGTGTAGTAGTGTGTATCTGTTAATCCCAAACTCCTAATTTATCCCTCCCCCCAACCTTTCCCCTTGGGTAACCATAAGTTTGTTTTCTGTATCTGTGGGTCTGTTTCTGTTTTGTAAATAAGTTTATTTGTATCGTTTCTAGATTCCACATATAAGTGAGATCATACGACATTTGTCGTTCTCTTTCTGACTTGCTTCACTTAGCATGATTGTCTCTTGGTCCATCGCTTTTGCTGCAAATGGCATTATTTCATTCTTTTTTATGACTGAGTACAGTTGATTTTAGGTTTTTGAAGGTGGAGGGGATGTAAGAATGTCATATAACTATCAGATTCACTTCTTGAATTGACAGTGCTAATTAGACACAGTAAATTTATTTTTAAAATAGTAAAACCAAAGTAAAACGTGACCCACAATACAGTTTATTTCCAGTGGGTTGTATCAGGAGGCAGAAAACTTTTTCTGTAAGGAGGCATGTAATACATACTTTAGGCTTTGTGGGCATAAGG